ATATTGGCGAGCATTATGAAGAGCTTCGGTAATTGTATGCATTAAATGCACCTGTAGGGCTCCAGGTGTTGAAATACGAGTAAATATTGTATAAACCAAAAGAGACAGATGGTAGCTTTCAGAAAGCATCTGGATAGAGACGGACGATTTTTAGCGTCTGTGGACACTTCTGTGTCTCTTTGGAGAGGATGTGTTTGAAGGAATAAATCAATTCACCTATTGGTATGCATAGAACATCGGCTTCTCTTCCTGCGTCGGAGAGCTTCTTTACATATTGATGCTCTCTTCTAAGCGAACCCTGAGTAATGTTTTGGCTCATGTATGTGTTGTTTACTAGATTCCCAATTCCGTGCCTTCGGATAAAAATGGTAACGTGTGTTCTAAATCAGGGCCTCTTAACCAATTGTCCGTTAACGACTTGTAGGTGGTTCTTGAATGTTTCTGTTCAGTGTAGGTTGTTAGACTGTAATATTTTATTTTCAGTCAGCGCCCTTTTTAAGTGGTATCGCATCGTAATTAGTGACTTAGTCGAACCGAAACGTAAGTGACATATTAGAAAAGTACCAAATGAAATATGGAAACAGAGAACTACGTATGTTCAACGTAGATAACGTGAGCAGCTAAACATGGTCCGACGGCTCAGGTGCTCCGCGGAGTTGGGACACGCTGCCCTAGCGTAGCTGCCTGACTCGTTGCAGCAGTGACAGCTCCCGTCTGGTTTCCGTCAAACATTCATACCCTCCTCAATAATTATCTTGATTGGAATGCATTTATCGTTTTGATTCAAAATACGCATGAAACATTAAATATAACTTTATTCATTTTTTCGACCGCCTCTGCCTACAGATCCAGAGGTTCTGGGTTCTATTTCCGGCGCTACAAGATTTTCTGAGAAGTAGTTGGTCTGGAACGGGGTCCACTCAGCCTCGTGAGGATAATTGAGGAGCTATTTCATGGAAATAGCGGCTCCGGTCTAGAAGACGGAGATTAACTGCCGTGGGGATCCGTTGCGCTGACCACGTGACACCTATCCGCAAATGTTGGCACTAACTTCGCTGACAAGCGGTGGTCGCTCGCTCGGTATAGTTCGCTTGCTGACTGCAGGACGCGGATTTTCTTTTTATTTCTTTCAATTATTTATTTTTTGTGTTCCATAAGGGACAACAGAATTTACAAGTGAAATGTTTAGTAAAATTTAGTATGTGAAAAGAGGTAAGTGTTTTGTGGAGGGCCTAGCGGTCTGTACCAGAAATATGAATGAATTCAAATTTTTAAATCGAAAATTCTACACAGTGTTCTTTGTATGGCGATGAATAATGAACGAAACACATTGAAATTTGTTCTGACGAGTGTTTACGGAAGAGATCTTTAAATCACGAAAAAAAAAAAAAATAGATTTCTGTATATATGAAATTACGATTTGACCTTTTCTCAA